ACAGAAGGGACATCAGTTAAGAAGCAAGGAAGTATGAATAAAGCACAGATTTTACTTAATAATAATGTATCAATGTTGGTTCATTAACTGTGACATATGTACCACACTAATGTAAGATGTCAACAATGGGGGAAACTGGGCTATGGTGTATGGGAACTCTCTGTGCTACAGTACAATTTTTCTGTAAATCTAAAAGCATTTTAAAATAAAAAGTTTATTTTTAAAAAAGTCATTATCTTTCAGAGAAACATACTGTAATATCTTCAGATAATATACAGATTTTCTCCAAAATAATAAGGGCTATACAAAATAATTGATTATAATTTTTATGTGTGTTGTATTTCAATTTTAAGTTTATTTAAACAAATAATAATACACAACGAGGAGGTGGATAGGTGTGTGGACAGGGCAGGAGTGGTGTCATGGATTGAACTGTGTCCCTGAAAAATATCTGTCAACTTGGCTGGGTCATGATTCCTAGTATTGTAAGATTGTGTAATCTACTGTGATTTCCTTATGTGTTGTAAACTCTAACACTATGATGAGGTTATACTGATGACGCCTACAAGATTGGATAGCGTCTTAATCCAATCTCTTTTGAGATATAAAAGAGAGAAGCAAACAGAGACACATGGGAACCTCATACCACCAAGGAGGCAGTGCCGGGAGCACAGTGCGTCATTTGGACCTGAGGTTACTGCACAGAGAAGCTCCCAGACCAAGAGAAGATTGATGACACGGACCTTCCTCCAGAGCTAACAGAGACAGTGTTCCCTTGGAGCTGACGCCCTGAATTTGGACTTGTAGCCTACTGGACTGTGAGAGAATAAACTTCTCTTTGTTAAAGCCATCCCCTGTGGTATTTCTGTTAAAGCAGCACTAGATGACTAAGACAACTGGTCATGGGTTGATGGTTGTTGAGGCTAGGTGATGGGTAAACCAAAAACCACACCCGTTGCCTTTGAGTCAATTCTGACTCATGGCAACCCCATGTGTTACAGATTAGACCTGAGCTCCGTAGGGTTTTTGTGGCTGTAATCTTACCAAAGCAGATCGCCAGTCCTTTCTTCCACAGTGCCACTGAGCGGGTCTGAACTACCAACCTTTTGTTAGTAGTAAAGTGCAAACCATTTGCGCCACCCAGAGACCCTGGGTGATGGGTACACGGGGTTTATTACACTATTCTGTACACTTAGCTAATAAAGAAGAAAATAAGCCAAAAGTTTGGTTTGCACACATACATCATGCAGTCGTAAAGATCTGCTAGAGGGGGCTGCAAACGGTAGGCTCTGATCCTCCACGCAGCCACAGCAAGGATGGGATGATAACTGTTGCTGCTGAATCCCTACAAGGGGCCAGTTGTTATTACATTTAATCCTTATAAAACCCTTCGAGGGGACATTACAATCTTTTTTCTTTCAAATAGATTAAGAAACTGAGGTACAGTGAGTTGAGGATACAAAGTCAGGTGTTTCTGGCTCAAATCCCAAAGCTGGATGCACTACACTAGCAGGGCATCAAGACTGGTATTAAGGGACGCCAGGGATCACAGGAATAGCAAAGCTAGGACTAGTGACAAAGTTCTGTTGTTGTTGCTGTGTGCCGTCGAGTCAATTCTGACTCATAGCGACCCTATAGGACAGAGTAGAACTGCCCCATAGGGTTTCCAAGGAGCAGCTGGTGGATTCGAACTGCCGCTTTTTCATTAGCAGCCTGAGCTCTTAACCACTTCACCACCAGGGCTCCTGGATGGTGTCAAATAAGGAGCAGAAGGAAAGTAATTAGGATAAATAGAAGAATTAGCATCTGGGCGAGGGGTCCTTGGTAAAAATGATGGTGCCTGACTTTGATTTCCCCTGTAACCCTTCTCATTATAATACTGGTGCATGGTTCTAACAAATCTGAGTTCACTGATTACATCTCAGGCTGGTCTCATTTCAGTTATAAACCGAACCTCTAACACCAGACAGCAATATCAAAAAAGAGAATGTGAATGGTTTAGCACAAAATCTTTGACACTATTGGAGCCAGAACTCAAGTGTCCTTCAACAATTATCATTATCCCAAAGCATGAACATACAGGAGCCTTTTAGAATCTGAGTTAAAATCCCTGGTGGAGATTCATACAGCTCAACCTAAATGCTAATAACTCTACCTCCTCACTCCAATCCTCTCTCCTTAAATAAACCTCATATCATGCCTAGACCTTTATGATAAGCAAAGAAAGGCAGCAAACAATGGTAAAATCTCCAGGGACTGGTCCCTACTGATAACATGTCCAAAGTATGTGAGACAAAGTCTCGCCATTCTTGCTTCTAAGGAGCATTTTGGCTGTACTTCTTCCAAGACAGATTTGTTCGTTCTTCTTGCAGTCCATGGTATATTCAATATTCTCAGCCAACACCATAATTCGAAGGCATCGACTCTTCGGTCTTTGTTACTTGTTGTCCAGCTTTCGCATGTATATGGGGCAACTCAAGACACCAGGGCTTGACTTGGGTCAGACGCACTTTAGTCCTTAAAGTGACATTTTTGCTTTTTAACACTTTAAAGAGGTCTTTTGCAGCAGAATTGCCCAATGCAATGGGTCATCTGATTTCCTGACTACTGCTAACATGGGTGTTGATTGTGGATCCAAGTAAAATGACATCCTTGACAACATCAGTATTTCCTCCATTTATCATAATGTTGTTTATTGCTCCAGTTGTGAGGAATTTTGTTTTCTTTATGTTGAGGTGTAATCCATCCTGAAGGCTGTGATCTTTGATCTTCATCAGTAACTGCTTCAAGTCTTCTTCACTTTCAGCAAGCAAGGTTGTGTCATCTGCATATCTCAGGTTGTTAATGAGTGTTCCTCCAATCCTGATGCCCCATTCTTCTTCATATATTCCAGCTTCTCGGATTATTTGCTCAGCATACAGAGTGAATAGGTAGGGTGAAAGGATACAATCCTGACCCACACCTTTCCTGACTTTAAAACCACACAGTATCCCCTTGTTCTGTTCGAATGACTGCCTCTTGGCCTATGCACAGGTTCCTCATGAGCACAAATTAAGTGCTTTGGAATACCCATTCTTCACAATGTTATCCATACTTTGTTATGATCCACACAGTCGAGTGCTTTTGCACAGTCAACAGAACACAGGTAAATATCTTCTGGTATTCCCTGTTTTCAGCCAAAATCCATCTGACATCAGCATTGATATCCCTTGTTCCACGTCCTCTTGAATCCAGCTTGAATTTCTGGCAGCTCCCTGTTGATGTACTGCTGCAACTGCTTTTGAATGGATCTTCAGCAAAATTTTACTTGTGTGTGATATTAATAATATTGTTAGTAGTATGGCTACTAACCAAAGGTTGGCAGTTTGAATCTACCCAGAGAAGCCTCATAAGGAAGGCCTGGTGATCTATTACCAAAAGATCAGAGACACTGAAAACCGTAAGGAGTGCAGTTCTACTCTGACACACATGGGCTCGCCATGGGTAAGAATCAATTTGACAATTGTTTCTTTTTTTGCTTTATTACAAGCTCTAGCCCTTAATGCAATGTTAAGAACCTTAGTATCTGCAGGCAGAGCTAGATATATTATAGGCACTCAATAAGTATTTATGGATAAAGTGAGCTGTACCTTAATTCACTGAGATTCCATGAAGTCCCTTGGTACTCTATAAGTAGACAGGTGCTCTCGAGTCAAGAACCCTCTGAGATCTCCAGCTCACCCACAAGCAGAGTTGATTACCTTTCCCTTGTCGATCACCACCGTGCCTTGTACTTAATTTAACATGTTCTCTTGCCTTTCGTCTCCTAACTGTCCCTTCTTTGAGGCTGTGAGCTCTCTGAGGGCAGAGATGTGAGTTATTTGTGATATTCAATATCACAGATTACCTTTGATAAATGTTAAAAAAAAAAAAAAAACAACTTTAAAAATTGCTAAGTAGAGGCAATTCCTATAAGGAAGAATTCTAACTTTTCCCTTTAACCAAGTCAACTGCATAAGACCCAACCGTGTTGACAGCACCGAGCAAATACTAAATGAAGTGAGAATTAATACAGTTCACACCCTGTCATGCCTTATTTAAATCACCAAGATTATAAAAAACATTCCTGTAACCTGGCTCAATCCTGTTACCAATGTTCTGCCTGAGGCTCCCCTGCAACTTCTACTTTTTAGAGCAATTTCTTGGCACCCTGTTTAAGAACCTTAATCTGATTCAATGAGAAAGCATGAAGTTCTCATTTTATGTTCTTTTGTATCTTACAAATTCCTCACATTATTGTGCTTGTCATTATTTTTCTTTTCCCAACATTATAAAAGCAGGTTTGTCCAAACCATCTCCTCTTTCCCTTCAACAGAGACGATACAGATAGCTCCCCACTTAGTGGGCAGGAAGACCAGATGACCACAGCAGCAGGGATGGGAATCGCCCAGTGCGCCCAAATGGACAGAAGTCTTTGTAGTCAACACTGGTAGGGTGACGAGATCAACAAAAAGTATCTGCTCTCAAACAGTATGTTTCATATGACATGGACCACACCCACAGCAGATAGTTCCTAACAGGCTGCAAGTCAGCCTCCTTGACACCCATCACTGCCATTCTAATACACACTCTTTTACCTTCCCTGTCCTCGCAGAATTGACCTTAGGGCCCTCAACTCTCTGGTTCCCACTTAAGGACCAAAAAAAACAGGGACAAAAAAAAAACACCTCTGAGTGTCCAATGTTCACATGATGCTTGGACATCAGAGGTGGGGTCAGTTTTCTCATTTATGTGGTCAGATAAACAAAGACTCCTATTTAATATGTTGAAGGATATTAATGTACAAAGACGGGGACTGACCGTGTGACTCTCAGAAAAGTAGTTGCTATAACAGCCAGGAAAAATAGCTTCAAACGTTAAGTGTGGCTTTTTTGTTTTCTTTTGTTACTTTTTTTTGGTTGGCATTTTGCTACTGTACAAGATCATACCAAAGTAAGTTATTAATATAACTACAGCCTTACCTGGAACCCTGGATCTCAAGAAATAGAGAAACTTCCCATTCTTGGAGTGCATGATGGCCCTCTTAATGAACTCTACCACTGATTGACAGCGATCCTCAAACTTAGGGTGGCACCACAGGCTGAAGGTTCCTGCCATTGGAAGATTAAGAGGCAAAAATGTAAACCTTACTTTAGAAAGGTCTATGAGGCTGGTCTAAACATTTTAACAATCCTCACTTTTGGGAAGGTAGTTTGTGGATAAGCTGAGTCAGACAGAGGTCCCTGAAGCCACCTGCTCCTGTTTGATCCCACATTAATGGGAAGAGAGATGTTGCCTTTAGTAAGACATAAATTAGGTCTTATAAGATTTTTATTAAACAAGTAAATAATACATTCAAGTCATAAAAAAGATATAAAAAGTACTTCAAGTATAAACATTAATCCTTAAATCACAGACTCTGAGGTTTCCTATAAAGACCATAAGAAAAGATTCATAGCCAAAGCAAGTTTAAATGACATCCCCCTCAAGAAGATCTACGTAGTCTTCAACTATTCACGGAATAGTCAAGGAAAGACAACAAGAGCAGATTTGTGGGTCTCACTCATTCACGTGTGTGTCAGGCACAGAAAATCAAATTCTGAGTCTTTCCTTCTTTAGCTTCTAAAATTCCATACCCCAACACATCACAAAGATTCTATCCCAAACTTTAGTGTCCCAAAGCCAAAAGAGAATCTGAATCCCCGTGACTTAAAAAAACAAAACAAGGAAAAAAAAAACTAAAGCACTAGATCCAAAGGAACCACCCACAAAGACATACTAAAAAGGGATACTAATTGCTCAAGAGAATTGCAGATTTGTGTCTCTCTAGTTACTTTTACAGACTCACTTAAAAAGATGAAGACAAATGTTCCATTGCAAACTGGCAACTGAAAGACCCACAAGGCTTCTATTAAAAATTCCATTTATTCAAAGAAGAAAAGCCCCCTTGAACAAGAAGTAACTAGAAAACCATTTGAAAGAGTTCTCATTCCTGGCATCTCACCTATCAGGAACCTAAAGGTCAAGCATTTATTCATCATTCCCATGGCCAGTCATTTTAATGTTTGGTTTTCCATTTTTGTTTTTTGTTTTTAGGAACAACAGGAAAATAGGCAGCAAACCACCCTACAGTTATCTAATTAATTCCAGGATCTTTCCTTTCATGCATTTCTCTGTGTAAGAGGTGGGGGCAGATGAAACTATGGGCAAAGCTTTGCTGACCTCAACAGCTACTTCCTGCCTCACAAGAAGAGCAAATGCAAGCATATCTAGCAGCACATGGCTGACAGCAGGGAAGACACGGCAGAACCTGAGAAAAGCATGACAGAGGTTCTTATTTATAATTCATGTCTCCTATAGCTCATTTAAGGTTGGACATATGCAGGAAGAGTGTAAGGGATGGTAGGGGTGAGTCCCTGAAACTCCCCAATGTTCTCTACACGTTTTAAAAATTTGTAACATATGCAGGTATTTTGACCAAGGATGTATTACCCAGCCCTACTAACAATGACCATCACAAGTTTCTGATCCCAGTCAAGTAGAGACTGCTCCGATGCAAAATCAATCCAGGGAGCTATGTTCAACAAGTCAGCTACTAGACATGGCTAGAACATTAAACATCATCTGACCACAAAGGAGGAGGTACCACCAAGGAGGACAGTAGACAGTCTAAAGCACATTGATCCCACAAATTCTCAAGGTTCCAATAAATATTTCCTAAAAGACTATAAAGCTGACCAAAAAAGGAAATTATCATCACCATGATGCCTGGCAGGAAGACTTGATGTGACTATGAGGCAAAGATATTCAGAACAGAACAGTCACAGCATCAAAACTAAATTCTTCTCTTTATGTACATGGTTTGACAGAAAGTATCTCTAGATAGTAAGCTTAGTTAAGACCAAAGCTTGGGAGAATTTGTCTAATGATCCTAGGTTGTCTCTTCCTTCTACCAAGAGTTTTACTGGCTCTGTTCTGAGAAACTTCTTTGACCTTGTTCAGGTCCTCCTATTTAGAAGAATACTTTTAAATGGGGCCCTTACTCTCCCTTTCCTACCTCCTCCAGTATATCTTCCAGTGATTGAAACCAACACCGGTATCAACATTCAATTGAGTCTGAGATTTTTCTCCCTATTCATAGCTCCAATCCTTTGAATTATTCCTGTGAAGAAGTGAGCAAAGGTAGAGAAAGGCAAAGATGGGGGAAGAAGATTTCTTAAAACAAGTCAAAACTCTGAGGTCAAAAAAGGCAGCTATGATTACTTAAAATTAAAGCCCTCTATGTGACAAAGAAGCCATAATAAAGTTAATAGATGAGCAGATATCTAGTATAGGACTAATAACCAGAATAAAGAGCTATATACATCAACATGAAAAAGATCCAACAGAAAAACAGGTATAGGCAATTTACAGAAGAAGAAATACATAAGAAAAGATGCTTAAACTCACTAAAATCCAAGAAGTGCAAATTAAAACAAAAAAGTATTTTAACCCATCAGGTGTGGCATAAATTTAAAAGATTAATAATATCTAGGGTTGGATAAGGGAGTGAAGAAACAGGTACTCTCATTCACTATTGGTGAGAATGTAATTGGTAGTATTTTGGAAGGCAAACTGGCAACATCTATCAGCTTTAGATATGCATTCCTTATCACCCAGAAATTCTACTTCCAGATGTCTTAGAGAAACATTTCTGCATGTGAATAAGGAGGCATAAAGAGAACATTCACTGTAACTTTATTTATAAGAGAATAACTGGAGATAACTCTAAATGTTTGTTGACAACAGAAGAGTTAAATAACAGCATATTCATAACATTATTTTGTAGTAATGAAAAAGAATGAGGTAGGTTAAAATGAGCTTAAAAGGAAAGTTCTCCCAGACAATTTAGCCAATTATATTCTATGATCCTTTGTAAAACCACACACACACAGAATTGCTTTTATACGTAAATGAAGAAAAATGTCTAGAAGGATAAACACCTAATTGCTAACAACAACTACCTGTAGGGTAGGGAGTGAAATCGGTGGACTAATAAAAAACAACTTTTAATTTCTATTCTATACACATGTATAGAACATATTCACACAATTAAAGTATAAAAAAACTAAGAAAGGAAAGAACATATCTGGTACAAATCCTCAGTGAGGCCCTGAAGTCTGACAAGCTCCTGAAGTCATTCTCAGGCACTCAAATATTAGAGACGTCAAAGGGAAAAGAACCAACATACTCAGCTATAGGCCCCCATCTGATCCCTGGGCACACACAACCAAGGACCTAACCAATCTGTAAATGTCTAAGGACAAGGAACCACATCTTCAGCTTTGTCTGTACTTTTCCACCTCTCCTATCCTTGCTCCTAGTTCAGGGCTCTGTTAATATAGGTTCATGATCACTTATTTACAATTCTGGAAACGTTTTCTAACATTTGGCAACAAAATCTAACCAGACCTTTTAGGAGCCACTTTAGGGTCTTTATTTATCCCCTTTAGTATGACTATTCACATTTCCTGCAGGAATTATCAATGTGCTTTGACTCTCAGATAATGGTCCAGACGGAAATGAGTGTGTTACATGTATAGCATGTGGTACCTTTCTAAAATGTGAAAACTTCTCAATTATGAAACATAATTTGCCCTGAGGATATAAGAAATCGTGGACCGGCTCGGCAAACCCTGGCTGACATTTCTCATCAGGCTTTTAGTGGCCGCTGGGGAAGCTCCAGCACCTCTTACCTCTGTAGTGCTCCATTCTAGTGTGGTGAGTGATACCCTGTGATCGGAAACTGAGGCTCAGGATATAACGAGGATCAGAGCTGTCTCGTACCAGGAAAGAACCATCTGGCTTCCCTTTCAACTTCATCTCAGCATCTTCCCAGTTCATTGGCCCCCAATACCAACCACACTATCAAAGACAAGAAATGATCGAGTAGTTAACAGAACTGAGAAATGGCAAAGCTTTCAGCACGGTCTATCTTACCACAGGAGAATCCCCCATCCTCCAAAACATTTCAAGAGGTAAAAGCAGCTGAAAGTGGCTCAACCGTTAGCAATGCTCATCAGGCTCACTATACTTTTAGCCCTCAAAGTAACAGAAGAATAATTCTGCAATTCCATTACCAAGAACTGGGTCAGAAATCTATCAAGCCCAGCTTAGAAATGTAAAAATGTCTCCACCACCTTTCTTCATCATGTTCAAATTTTGTTTTCCAAATCCAATGTCACAGCATCTTCCATGGAATTAGTAACAGAAGCATACTGTTTTGTCACTGTAAATATGGAGGCAAAGAAACTACTCTTCCTTTGAAAATAATAAAAGGACAGCCTGAGTACAGAATTAGGAGAGTGCGAGGGGAGGGGAGGGGAGCTGCCAGTCCTCAGGCACCACCTACCTTCTCCAATTCTCGAAGGCTGGCTGCAAAGCTGCTCGAGTCAGGCCGGTAGAGGGGACATTGGAGGTGCTGGGGGGGCTGGCTGTGCAGGGATTCAGCTGCTCGGATGGGAGCAACCCGGGGAAATGCATCTGCAGGGCAAGAGAGTGGTGGTCACTTGTTTCTTCCTGTTGCTCCCAACCACAGGCAGACCCTTCCCCCAACGGAGATGCTAATGAAGAGGGGCAAGGCATTAGAAGCTAAGCTGGAGAGGGTGAGAGCCAAAGCAGTGGTAAAGAGCTGGATGGGCTGGAACACAAAGCTGTGTGGGCGTGTGTAAGCTGTGAAGGATGGGCGGGGCATTTAACCCCAGGAAAGGGATAGCGGAGCTGCTCACTAACCTAAGATGACTACTTCAGGGGCTTCACCAGCCTACAGCGATTCCACCTTCTCCCATCTCGGCAGCCTTGGAAATAGTGACTCGCTTACTCGCCCAGGAAGAGTAACAATTTTGCCAGGCAAGAGAAAAGTATGCTGATTTCATTCATTTTATTCCTTGGGTACCAGAGACTGGCAAAGCAGGTATGGGCTACTAAATGTTTGGGTACTTATTTACAAGGCTGCAGTAAATATGAAACGCTTAGAAAAACCACAGAACTTTGAAATCAGCTACATATTAAACCTCCTCACTATACTGAAATTAAGGTAATTTCTTAAGTGATATCTACTCAAGGTTTGCAAAACAGTCTCAGCAGCAAAGAGACCAAAAAATACCAGACTTTTATCCCTAACAAAAATCAAATTCACTGCCATAAAAAAACAAATAAGAAAAACCAGCTCTCAGCCTATTTTCCAAAGAGTTCTGGCTTTCTCATAGTATCGATGTTTCTACATATCGATTCCTCCCATCCTTCAAGGATTTATCACTTTATACTCCCAATTCTTGCAAGTCTTGCCTTTAAGCTAAGCTAACCTGGGGCATGGGGTGGAGGAGGCGGAGGTAGTGGGAAGGACTGCAGGGAAGACCCCATCGGAGCCACAAGGACAGATGTAGGCAGCGTCCCACTGATATCATCTAGAAGAAAGAACAAAAGCAAGAGGTTCAGAAATATGAGCACAGAGTGAACGAGGTGAAAGCAGGGGAGAGGGAGAAGGATTCTAAGGTTGTCCTCTGATGTGAGATGGCCTGATCTTCACCCTGACTTTTTGCACACAGGGCAACAATCATTTTAATCTGGTTTGCTTCGCTTGGAAAGCAGGAGTGTAAGGATATTCCTGAAGTAGCCTAGTAGCAATACATTCAGGGCAAGATAAATAAAAAAACCTATCAACATACAGAGCCCTGGTGGCACAGTGGTTAAGAGCTCAGGCAGTTCAAATCCACCAGTTGCTCCTTGGAAACCCTATGGGGCAGTTCTACCCTGTCCTATGGGGTCACTATGAGTCAGAATTGATTCTGACGGCAACAGGTTTGGTTTGGTTTTGGTTATCAACATACAGACAGTAAATATTACAGCATGCAGGTAAGAGACCTGTTAAACCACTTAGGGAAATGGATGGGGTGCTGAGAGAGGGCCAGTAAATAATTGGGTCATTATTGGAAACTCAGAAGCTTGTTTGGCTCCTGACCAAGAACAATAGGTCCCTAGAGTTTACCCTCCCAGGAAGGGTAGAGAGAAAGCAAGGGAGAGAGGAAGGAGGCTATACCTAGGAGGCTGAGGCTTCTTCTTGGAGGAGGAGGGGGAGTTGGAGGATGTGGAGAGGTCAGGCCCCGCTGAGAGATGTCCACGTCCACAAGCGACACCGTTTCACCTGTGGGATTCACGGAGCAAGCATGTTACAGAAGCACCTTGCCCAAAGCAGAGGCCGAAGGCAAAGAGAAGCAAAGGGCGAGCAAGGGAGGCAAGCGGTCCATGGCTCTCAAAAAGCTCAAAATCTAATGCTCCTCAGGGCTGGAATCACCCCTGAACACCAGAGGAATCCATTTTAAATTCTGTCATTCTTTCGCCCTGTGTTAAGGGTTAGGGATTCTTTAGAACAAAAACATGCGATGACAGTGGTAAAGTAATCTAATTCTGGGTCTGCAACTGACTTACAATATAATCTTGAACAAAGGGTCTTCTTTATTTAAATGAAACCCACACAATGTATTTTTACAGACTTGTATACCAAGTTCTGCCTTAGCGAACAAGGCAAGTGGCTTATTATAAGCCCCAAGGACACGGGAAGCAATAATCCCCAATAGCTGAAGTTACAAAGGCTGAAAAAAATGCCTTTATGATCCTAAAAAATAACTACTTCCAAAATCAGCCAAAGTCAGGTAAGCTTAGAGGAAGCTTCTCAGTAGGAACTTGGTAGGGGGTGGCACATGGTTTCTCTTACTTCTCAGCATGCCATGAAGTTCTGTTCTCTGCCATGTACACCACTCCTTACCACCTAATCCCATCTACTCCCTCTCTACTTGAGTCACCAGAAAATAGAGGGTATTTTATTAACATTTAGGTTGATAGCCAGGAACAGGTATGTTTTGGCTGGTCCGATCCACAGGTCAGAACTCAGGAATTCTTTAATATGGTCCTTAGGATGTTATTTCCAACACTTTTTCTTCCTTACTTATTATTTTAATGCTGCTCAGTTAAGAAAATGAGGTCATCAATCTCTCTAAAAGACCAGGAGCTGGGCTTTTGGAACCTAAATACACAGTTTTGTTTTGTTTTTAACAAAGTTCTTGAGTACTAATTAAGGAGAAAAGTTCTTCTAAAAATCATCAGTACAAGTTCTAGGAAGCTGGTACTGGACTTATCACAGTTTAACAACTGAGAGTCTAGCTTCCCAGAGCAATGGAATGACCCAGACAAGTGGTTAAGGTAACCACCTGCCTTGATCCAGGATCAGAGAGGTCTAGATTGTAGGTATGGCACTTAAAGGATGCAATTCAAGCACGCTAAGGCTGTCTGAAACAAGAATGCTGAACCTGAGCCTACAAACGTGGGTGGTCCTTACTTGAAGGAGGAAGCAATTATTAACAGAAAACACACTGCCACAGGATAAGATTCTTTAATTCTGGGCTTGGCTTAAGAACAGAGACCTCCTTCTCCACTACAGTAGATGCATGCCACAGGTACCAACTCACTTCTTCTGACAACTCATGACAGTCTACCCAAGAATGAGGGACCCTCTGCCTGCTTAACATCTTCCTAGAAATGTCCATTCCCAAATCATAATTCTTCTAACCATCTTTTTGAGGGACACAATTTATCTAAAAGGGTTTGGGATTGGAATCTCTTTTATTTTTTTTTTAAAAAAAAGCTTCTCAGCCACCATCAGTGAGGGGTACTAAGTTCTGAGACTTGGGGCAGTGTGGTAAAGACCTTTTCTATTATTCGAGAAGGAGCTTCATATCTGACTGACATAGCAGAAAATCTCCCTCTCTGAAAAAGTTCCCCATAAAGCAAGAAACAGTTACCCAAGGATATTCAACCCCCTTTGTACTTTAGCAACTGTGTTCCCTGCTGCAAGAGGAAAGACTTAAATTAGATACAGTGAAGAACTCTAACAGCTGCAAGAGCTGCTAGTCCCTAAAACAGGAAGACAAGAGCTCATATAACCCCTTTACCCAAAGTCTTTAAAAATAATCATGGATCATGTTTATTAGATAATCCATTAACTCCCCTGGAAGCAGGGACAGGAACCTTATGACTTCGGGAGTCCTTTATGCACTGTGATCCTATAAATTTGTAATTCCTACTTTTAATTTATATGTGATGACCCTGAACTAAGCACTGCATAACTGCTAGGGCCGCCTAATTACCAGCAAGCAGCCTTTACCTCAAACTATAAAGCATCCAAACTCAAGAACACATTCCACACCATAAAAATAGCCTTACCCTAAACCCAGCGGGCACAGAATGAAGAAAATAACTGCAGACATGCCGGAAGCTCTCTCTGCGATGCATTTGCAAGTGTGTTTCCTGACAGGTCTCAGAACACTCCTGCTTTCAGATGTCAGAAGAAAGAGGAATATATCACCCTTACCTGTGAACAGGGGGCTGAAGGAGACCGGAGAAAAGGCACTTTGAGTTCTTGTCAACCTGGGTTTCCTAGGGGGCGAGAAAGCACACAGAAGAAAGAGGGGAAAATGAACATGTATACATCTAAATCACTACAACACTCAATTCCAGACGCACTGAAAAACAAAGAAAACCCTAGTTATTGTCAGTAACACTCTTGTAATAAAGTCTTAAATTTAATGGGGGAGAATGAAATTAATTAAGGCAATTCCTTAAAAAGATTTGGCTACAGAATTCACTAGCCTACAAAGCAATGAGAAATCCCTCTGGATCTCTCCATACCCAGCACATTATAGGAGTAAAACACCTAAAGTGGTAATTAGCAAGTCCATTTCAAGAGGAAGGAAATCGGATGCAGAGTTGATTTTTGTATAGGAGCCAAGAAAAAGGCTCTTGACCTGAACAGGCGCCAGCTCAGAGCAACAGCTTTCCCTATGAGCCTACCCCTAGGAGTAGGAGGTCCCAAAGCAAACCAGGGAACCAGGGAATATATTCCAACTTGACAACAACACTACAGGATGTGCATGTAATCTTCAACCACTAAGACCTCTACTTTCTGCACAAATGCCCCCAGATATAGATCCAATCCATCAACTAGCAAGTGGGCTCCCTGAAGTTCAGGGCTCTGCCTAGCATCCAAACAAGATGGCCCCTTCCCCCTCCCTAAGCTCCCCCTAGACTTCCTGGTGCAGCTCCAGGGAACCAGTCTGAAAACCCAGATCTCCTGAGAAAAGTTACACCAAAAGGTAACTTCACTTTGTACCAATTTCAACTGGCTTTTCAGTCAGAAATGAAAAAAACCCAAAAGTTCTGTCAAAGACTTTCTGGCCAGCAATGTGCCAAGCTCAAAAACTCACCTTAAGAGGGGACTGACTTAAAAGGAAAACAACCTGTAGTGGTGACGGAAATATGCTGTATCTTGATTGTGGTGGAGGTTACAATGACTGTATACATTTGTCAAAATTAACAGAACTGGATACCCCCAAAAAAAAAATTTTTTGCTGTATATACATTATACCTTAATGAATCAAACTTTAAAAAATCCCACCTCAGAATTCAGTGCCTGAATCTGGAGAGCACTGTAGTTGGCTCACTTTCCAAAAATACCCTTACCCAAAGAACTAAATAAAACAAACTCTATTCAACTATCAACTGTACCATTAAGGAGGAAAGGGGGTGCAAAAGAAAGAAAATTCAAATTAAATCCTATTTAAAATTATTTGACTTTGGAAGGTGTTGATGTATTTATGTTTAAATACAGATGTCTGAGCTTCTCAGAATTCATTTCAAATAAAATCTCAAAATCATACGATGATGACCTTCCTCAGGAACACCTGAGACACTGCCCGGTTCCTTGTCCAGACCTATCCTCAAATGCCCTCTGCAACACCCTCCATGTTGAGAATTGAAGAGTCTAATGAAGATGCACACTGTGAATGCCCTCCTCCCACCCCAGCACACAGGGAGAGGTGGCTACATAAAAACAAGACACCACCACACAGAGTCTCTCTGTTTATAAAAGTTGCTCATGACAGCCTGCAGCTTAGTTGCAACACTCCAGAGGGCTGGAATGGAAAGTTAATTCCACTGGACATGAACTTTAAGATGGGTGAAGAGCTTCCAAGCTGATTTTTATTTGATAACTTGTGATACAACATTAAACTCAGCAAGTAGAAACCTACACCACTGGCCTTTCAAAAGGTTCACACCTCAGCCATTTGGCCGTGTGCCTCTTTTCAAAGGAAGATGCATTACTCTGCCATCTGCCCATACTGGGGACGAGGCTCTTCAGTGCCAAGCACTGAAGAACAGCAGTACCCAAACGCACACATCTTGCGGAGGCCTTCTCACTTCGGCTCATCTTCTCCCCCGCCCCTGGCATTTTGAAGAAGAAAATCATAGTTTCTAGGATCTAGAAAAAGAAATACATCTGAATCTAAACCCAGACAGAGCCATCTGAGAGCCCCAGGATAGTTTTTCCTGGCAAATAAGGAGGCCTCGCAGCTGGAAACTTGGGGGAGGGAGAGGGTCTAGGAGGCTGAAAGGCTAATAATAAATACATGTGCTTCCCCCTTTCTTCAGGGACACACTGCCTAACTAAAAACCCACAGCAGTTTCTGTCTTAAGGATCCTGAGAGCATTCTAATGGCAGTCATCCATGAAAAGACCAATCTAGACAACCTTAAAAAAAAACAAAGCAGGGGAATGATTAACATAAAACTGAGGATGGTAGTAACCTGGGGGGAAAGGGGGGAGAGAAGGGGAATGTAATCAAGAAGAAACACACAGGGCTCTTCAAAGGTACTGATACCACTCTATTTGCTAAGCATAATGATGTGTTCCCATGCACGCATCTCATTGTTATTTATATAGTATATACACTTTACAGGAATCCCTGGGTGCTGGAAACAGTTAAGCGCTGGATTACCAGCAGAAAGGTTGGTGGTTTGAACCCACCCAGAGGCACCTCAGAAGACAGGCCTGGCAATCTGCTTCAGAAAGGTCAGAGCCTTGAAAACCCTGTGGAGCAGTTCCACTCTGCACACATGGGGTCGCCATGAGTTGGAATTCACTCAACTGCAACTAACAACAACAATATACTTAATATACCCTCTTTCGTACACATGATATATTTTAGAATGATAAAAATCCATTCTAAGCTGGATGTGTTGTTTTTGGAGAGTAACATGAATGCTACAGCTCCTTAGGTCTATGGACCTGATAGCATTTTTAACCAACCCTTCTATACTACATTCCCATGTTATTTTTATTCATTCCCACATCATCTTGACAAGCATTAGGGTATGAAAGTTATGCCAGTGTAACTTTGCCAGTAGGTCACTAGCATCTTGGCAGCAGGGAGACTTGAGGGGTGGGGTAGGATTTGGTGGGCTATGCCTCAGGTGGCAGAACAGGGCAGGGCAGAAGAACTTAGGCAAACTGTTCCCCACCTGAGGCTGGCAGTCCTTTCTGTCAGCTGTGCACTGGTAACAAAGAGACAGACTGCCTCTGTCCATTTCCACCGTGCAAATTACTAACTCTACTGCAACAGATCTGTGGGATAAAAGGAGTTAAAAGCATTAGACTAGACAGACGACAACACATAGATAGAACCACTGGCCAGTTTTCAAGTTCCTTGAAAACCTAAAATGTAGACAATGAAATAGCAATGTCCTCCCTCTCTTATCCATAAATCGCCTCTACTGATGCCCTAAGACTTACACATTTCCTTTGCTAAAGGAAGTTCCAAACTAGGATGTCCAAATACCAGGTTTTATGGCTTCAGTGTACCTCTGCCCCTGCTAAAGCACACAGTGCCAAGTCAGCCAGCCTGTGCCATTTCCAACACGTCATAAGCTAGTGTCTGTTCATGTGCTACAGGCACAAAAACCATGTGTTCATTTTTAGTTCCAATACACAGACATCTGTGCAGCAAGGTCAGATCCAAAACTCCATCATAAACCAACGAAAGAAACGATGAGGGAACTTCCAGGGAAAAGCAAAGAGGCATACCCTAAGGTCTAAAACCTCAGGAACGATGTTGGTGAGGAGAATTTTAAGGAGTGAAAGGCACAAGACTCAAATGGACACAGAGCTTTCTGAAGGCAGGGAGCTCATTCCAGAAGAGAGCTGCCGACCACAACCCCTTCTTGGAAAAATAGTTAAAGAGACCAACGGAAGATGGACCCAAAACCCAAACATAAAGTTAGAACTTCCTCACCACATCATAAAATCACTTTGCTCTCAGCATGTCATGCTATGAGTCAAAAAGACCCCATTCGACCTAAAGACCAAGGAAACAGAGAAAACGGTTTCTCATGTCTGCCAGGTCTGTCCATGACAGCAAGGCCCAAACTGATATCAACACAGCCTGCCTCTCTTTCCAAAATTGCATCTTTTTTCCAAACAAATAGATAGGAAACCACTACAGAACTGTTCTTCATTTCTCCATCTCACAACTATGAAGACAGCCAGTAATAATCTCAACTGTTAACTCAGTAAAAAACAAAATCTTGAAAAATGCACTAGGTACCAAGTGTGCACTGTGTGATGATTCAAAAAGGTGAGTCAGATCAACAGTTATTTCTCAGCAAAGAAAGACAATCAGTCCAACATATCTGAAAAAGACAAGGGAACCCCGTTGGTTTTCCTGAATAGAAAATTCTATATTATACCAAAGTCCATAGACATGAAGGCTGCATCCTAACAGGTGTATGTTATAAGGCCTAGCCCAGTTCCCCAGAACAGAAACCTGACAAGCTGCTGGGTCCGTTGCGTCCTTCACTTGAAGAGTTCTCTAAACTAACTCATACTACATTTAAGACTAAGTATTATATCCAAGCAGGCCTAGTTAGCAGACTCAAAAGCATCTGAAGGTACCAAAATTTTGCTTAGTGTTAAAATATGGGAACTGTTAAGTCTTATAAATGATTTAGGAAGCACTTTTTAGTCGATAGCTGTGGGAAAGGGAGATGTTGAGAAGAGGAAAGAGAATTATGCCTAGAGGTTACTGTAAGAGCCCCAAATTATACAGCAGACTGCAGACCCATAATTAACTCCAACCAACAATAAGGAGAAAGGCATATACCTTTGGCAAAAGACTGAAATTTCTCACTGCTTTCAGGTCCTACCAATCAAAACAAGAGAACAAACTAAAAATCCAAACTCATCCTTCCTCCCATCAGGGCGTACTTACTCAGAAAGGAGGTGCAGATCCACAGAAATCACAACTACCCTGGCCAGACGCACCAAGTTTTGCACAGCTGCGAGGCTGCCAGCAAGACTGGCACGTAGTAAGCTGTGGAGAAGCTAACAAGCAGCACCAGAGCCTAAGCACTTTAAAAAAAAAAAATCCAGCTCAATCTTATTACTTCTTTTCTAAAAAGCACAAAACACTCCATCTAGAATTCTCTCGTCTTCACTCTATTCCTTTAAGGTCAGGAACAAGACAGAACTCACTCTCCCATTTTACAGATAAAAAAAAAGGGAAGTATGAAGAAAACATATTTGGCCCCCACCCTACAGTTGATGCTGGCGTTCCAAATGGAATCTAGACATTTACATTCTCTATACAACATGCTGACTCCTAACAGCAGTCAACCAAACGTTTATACGCAAATACCTAGCTCTTCTCCAATGCATCAGAAAAAGCCCCTGGACCAAAAAATGTAATTCTCCAGTGCCCTGAACTAAGCTTCTCTGCAGAGCTACAGCCCAATTTGCTCTGCAGCAGAAATCTGTATTGTGCTTAGTGTGAGGGTTGGTGACAGAGCAACCAATGACCATTAAATTTTGCTTCCAAAGGCAAAAAACCGTATAATGTTATATGCCTTTTCCTCTTCCTAATCCATTGGATGTAGCAGCTAATTTCACGCCACACCTAATATTTGGCGTCTCTAGATTCCTAGACCAAGTCTTGGTCAATACGGAACAAAGACAAGACAAACCACAAAAAAAAGAAGCAATCTATTCTATGTCATTACCCACAGCTTCAATCCCATCCTCCCCCCATCTGATGAAAATTTCATCCCTACTGCTGAGTGCAGCATCCAATGCAGAGCTTACCACAAAAAAGCTATTGCAGTAGCCACACACTTTTCAAGACTTGAGCTCCCAGCATGAGTTCACTGGAAGGTAAATGCAGAAACAGTGGCCTATCTGAATAGGCAACAAAAATCAACCTACTGATTTCTTTAAGGAGTCTGAGTTTGGCCTGATACCTGAGATGAGCCCAAGGCACAACTGTTCAGAAGGAGCAGCAGAGGCAAATCAACCCCACACTTTCCTCTTGGAGGACCCAAGCTCCCTTGAAGAGAAGTTCATGGATGAGTGGTTCCCAATCCAGGTCACACTTCTGGGGAGGATCAACTGGGAAGTTTTTTTTTTTACTTCAAATTCTTGAGCCCTAGACATACTGATCTTTTCATAAAGCACCCCCAAGTGATTCTATTGCACAGTAAGGTTATCAGTGTATTCACTTTACCTGTTATTTAGCCATGGTTCATGGCTGCCAGTACATCCCGGGAATCTATCATATAAGCCACACCAGAACCAATTTGAATCTTTCTAAGAACCCATCCAGAAGCACAAACCACAATGGCTGTTACCGCAATGGAAGTTTCATTTCACCGACAAAAAAGTTGACAGCTTTCTAAACCAACACTAAAGATCTAACACTGGATATCTGAGAACAAGTCTATCCTTCAGAAACTCAGGAAAACAAGCAGCTCAATGTCTAAGTCTGGAATTTTCATCAACTGCCCTAGAACTGAAGTTCTAATGTCTATACCTCATACTTAGAATTCTTACATGGGCTTGAGAGCAAACCTATTCTCTATTCTCACAGACACCGGTCAGCACACAGGCTTGGGACAGTCAGAAAAGCATTAACTTTGAGTAGAGATGCCCTACTGATTGCTGGCCTACAACTGCACAAGTTCAACACATCATCTGTATACATGAGTGAAGAGGGGGGTGAGGTGCTGGTACACAGACAGAATAATAAGCAAGGTGCTCAAGACGCAACACCAGCTTTTTGCCCCGAAGGCCAAACATTTACAGCAACCTCCATGCCAGGGGTAATGGTAGACACCCAATTTTGAAAAGCAAAAAAAGAAACAGAGTGGGTGGTGGTGGTTCAAATCATCTCCAAACTCAAAAGATGCTAGCCCGCTGAGAAATGTCATGGGGTGTTAACTCCTTAAGAGTTAAAGTTGCTCCCACAATTTACCACCGGCTTCGACCATACCTAACGGGAGCTGTCACCACCTTTAGCCCCAAGTCTCTGCCTCCTCCAAAACACCAAATCTTAAGAATTGGCAGAGTGCAGGTTAGCAGTAGAAAAAAGGGGAAATGAAAGAAAAGGAAGTTTTTCAGCCAGTCCCCCAAGCGGTCTCACCTCCCCGCGTCCAGCTCCCGACCCGCCGAGCCACCCATGTCTGTCAGGCTCGCAGCTGAAGCAGCCAGCTCTCCAGAAGGCCTCTTGCCGGTCCCATCACCACCGCCAGATCCACTGTTGCAGCTCTTCGTGCGAAAGAGGCGACTGAGACGGATTTTGAGGGAGCCCTTCCGAGGAGGACCCGCGAGTGGCCGGAGGGGCCCAGGAGGCGGCGGGGGCGGGAGAGGTTGCTGCTGCTGCTCTCCTCTACTCAACCGCCCTGGAGGGACCAAGTCCTGCAGCGGGAAGGGTACTGAGGGTAATTCGGGGCCTGGGGGCTGCAGCAGAAGCCGGCCGCCCCCTCCTCCTCCGCGGCCCGGGCTGCTGAGCTCCTCTTCCGAGCAGCTGTTAGTCTCCAGGCTCTCGGCCTCGGATTCCAAGCCCTCCAAGACCAACAGCGCGTCGCTTGTTTCCGTGGGGTCCTCCCCGGCCTGCGGGGCGGCAGCAGGCGGCTGGGGCTGCGGAGGGGGCGGCTGCGGGGGACATGGGCACGGGCAGCAACCCGCACCGACCATCTTGATCCCCGGCCCTGCCGGCTGCCCGAGCCCCAGAGCTGCCAACTGTGCCTCTAGTCCAGCCGCCGGGCCCCAGGTCCGCTCGAGCGCCAGCCCCGACGGCAGGGCCTTAGGGTCCAGAGCACAGCGGTGCCGGGGGCACAGCAGTTCCGAGGGTCCGGGCTCCGGGGCCGCCTCCGGGTCCTCCTCCTCCGGCGGCCGACCCACGTTGCGGAACACCATCAGCTGCGGCGGCCGGGAGCCCCGCGGGCAAGGCCGCGCGAGGAAGGGTGGCGGCGGGGGGCCATG